AGAGAGAGAGAGAGAGAGAGAGAGAGAGAGAGAGAGAGAGTGAGAGAGAGAGAGAGAGAGAGGGTGGGAGGGAGGGAGAGAGAGTGCGTATGCGAGATAATGAAAGTTTGGAGGAAAAAAAACGAAGAGCAGAAACACGACTGTCTGCATACGTTGACGAATGTGATTTGTGCAATTAGATGCACCGAGTGTATTAGGATAAAACAATAAAGGACTAATAATAATAATAATAATAATAATAATAATAATAATAATAATAATAATAATTTCAATTAAACAATCCGCCATTCGCTAAGCCAAAACTTATTGCGTCCGATATGACTTAAGCGCGTACTTATTAATAGTATTATTCAAGTAATGACCTTCGTTGATTGGTTGATGAAAAAGAAAATGGAGGATTTAAACACCTGCGAGATGTAACGTTACGAGCGTTAAGGACGTCTGTTACTAGAAAATGTGCTAGCGTCGCGACGCCAGCCTCCTTACGAGCCCGTTGATGGGAGAGGGAGAGGGGCGGCTCAGGGTGTACGAAAAGTACGGCTGTGGATACGGAGGAAGAGAGTACAGTGGAAGATGAATAATCAAGGATCGATGACGATGATAAATAATAATAATAATAATAATAATAACAATAACGTTGTATTAAAATTGTAATGAATTATCTGTGAGAGCAGTGAGAATATGCGGGGAGAGAAAACTGGCGGAGAATCGAATGGATAGATAAGCCACGTATAGATAAGAAATGAGAGAGAATGAATACTGTAATTATAACCTGATAAGACGGCCACGAAAGTAATACCGATAATTATTTAATCATGAACTTTTATAATGCTTACTTCTCTGGATCAAAACTAAAATCGCTTTAATTATATTGATTGGTAGTTTTTCCTAATTGCTCACGTGTCTTCAATTATTTGCTATACTTTTTCAATTTATGTTCTCACTCTCTCTTTCATTCTGTCACTCACTCTTTCTCTCTCTCTCTCTTTCTCTCTCCCTCTCTCTCTCTCTTAGTCACTCTTCTTCTCCCCCCCCTCTCTCTCTCTCTCTATATATATATATATATATCATTATTAACCGTTTCTTTAATTAATATTTATTTTCTACGTACTCGAAGATTTCATTCTATTCTCTTCCTCCTCTTCTCTGGGTTAAAACTATCTTGGATAAAATGTACTTGTATAAACGACCACTAGAGCCACAGTTGTAATGTTCACAAAGAATTGATTGATTGATTAATTGATTGTTTGATTGTTTGGTTAAGGAGGCGAGTGTTAATGATGCTCCATTCATGAACGCAAAATGATGTTCCTGCGCAGCATACGTTCTCTATCGATTGATCGATCGATCATTGGATCGATTAATTAATTGATCGAATGATTACGGATGTCCGTAAGACGTTTTCGTTGTCCCTATTTATTTCACGAGGACTACCGAATTGTCGATTTATTGTCATTATACGGAATATATTATATTTCGATGGATGCGAATTCCAAGAATAAAAACGCTACGAAAATTAAAATTGGCGAGTGAGACATTTTAATTGCATTACGTCATTCACCCTTCACAGTTAATCGTACAATCCTATACGCATTACTGATAATGACTTATCATCGTCTTCTATTTCATAAGAAAGTTTAATCTTTAACTTTGTCTAGACTCTCTAAAATTATTTGCCCTATGATATGTGTTTTCACTGTCATTTGTCTGTTTCGACCAAGTTTTAAGGGGTCTACCCTAATTAGACGGGCAAAATAAAGGCTATTTTCACGAAGTTTTTTGACCGGTATAAATTGTAAATATGGATATAAAAAGTGTTAGGCCTAAAAAATATACTCTTAAAATACACCAAAAATTTATTTATATTCTTTTTACTCAGTTTTCGTACAGAAAAATGGGGGAGAAGACAGGTCCAAAAAAAAGATGGGTGTGCGCTGTTGATAAAATCTTTGGAATGGATGATTTGAAAAAAAAAGGTTTCAGATTCAGTAGGTAAATGGCTATAGCGCATATCATACGATTTTTTATTTTTTTAAAAATGACAAAATGGCAGCCCTCTTTCCAAAAACTACGAAAAAGCACGTTTTTTTCATCGTTTTTTGCAAAAAAATAATAGTTACACTAAAAATTTCAAAATTCTTATGACATGCGCTATAGCTATAGTCATAAGGAACATGTGGTAAAATTTTGTTAAGGATCGGTTGAATAGTTTCGGAGATTTTATCAACAAGTCGTCTAAAAACGTCATTTCGAGAAAAACGTGTTTAAACTTTTCTTTAACGAAAAATCGTGAAAAAATCTTATTTACGTCTAATTAGCGATGCCTGCACGATACATTATGCCTTCAGTTTCTTCATAGCGCTCATTTTCATCCAAAATGTAGTACGGATAGTATATTTACAAATCTAGCAGCTCCTCATGTATACAAAGGCAGGTAGGTAGTACCGCTCCGAGCGGTGCGTATATTAGCGCGCTCAGGTAGCTAAGTAAACGTCGCTCAAAAGTACACTTAGACTGCTCGGATCTTTATAAAATTTTAGTATGATACTTTTAAATATGTATACTTTCGAAAAATGCAATAAAAAGAAAATCGATTTTTTGAAAATTGTAATTAGGGTAGACTCCTTAATGGAGATTCAAATGATAAATTCGAGCTTTAAATGGCAGTATTTAGAGTTTAAATCAGTATATAATTTTGGATAGAAATATTAACTCCTTGGTAGCAATGTTAAGTAACACTATCAATAGTACACAGTGAAGACTACTACTAATTGCTACTTCGAAGTTTAAAATGCTAGTAAAGAAGAGTCGATAAAATAGGTGTCCAATGGTTCCACGGTAAGATTAGCTTTTTTTAGCTAGAAAAATGAAAAATCGGAACGGATATACATCCTTGTATAAATGTTCCTTGAGTAGCGCCAAAATAATTGTATAATAATTATGTTCGTATTCCGTATCCTTTTCTGTTCATTTTTAAAACGAGAAGCGCTCCTCTTCTTTGATTTCTTTTCTTCCTTCTTTTCCTCTCCTTACGGCTGTATCCCCTATTGGGGGACATGTGCCAGTAACTGGAGGTGGATTGTGTAACTCAAATGTAGTAAAAATGCTAAAAGTGCTAGCCAATAACTGCTAGCCAATCGTTGTGCTTGTCTTATTTTGATTCTAACACGCGATTAGCTAGCAGCTAATTACTTTTAGCATTTTCACTACATTTGAGTGTTACACAATCGACACCCTGATACTAGATGGTGATGTACCTCGTGAGACGGGCCTTATATGTGATGTGTGAGGACCTACAGAGTTTATGCACTGAATTCAAACAGTGTTGGACGAAATTCGTATGATTAATTCACTTAGATTTTGTTATGAAAACCCATTGGTAAATGTCGCTGGGAGCTAGACGCGAACTTTTGAACCTTTACGGTCGTAAATCAGCTACTTTAACCACTAGACTACGGTCGCCCTTCTTTCTTTTCTTTAAACTTTTAGTCATCCTAGCACCGTCGGGAAGTTAACGCGGAAAAATCAAAATTTGTATGTTTATAATACTTAAAAAATTGCTCGTTAAATGTTCCATATGTTTCCGTAATTGCTCCACTGCTACTATGCAGTGATTAATAAATATTCATTAAAACAGAAAATTTTTATTTTTATTGAAATTCCAAATAACCAAGCAGATTTTCATATGAGATTCTTGATGAATTAATTGTCCCGATTTGCTCCCAATTGCTCCACAATTAGTTTTTTATTTAATTAAAGCATCTTTAAATAATAAGTAAAATTTGATTTTCACTTAACTCGATTGCAAACGTGAACATTATGATTGGTTTGCGAACACACCTATGACAGCTAGGTTCTAAGATCAGCCGAGAGTGCGCGAACATCGTTGCCTCGGTTCATTTTCGAACACACTTGGTCAATTCAGGATTGGTCGATTCCTTTATCAGTATTAACTAAACCGGTTCAAGACCGCCGTGTAAACGTAGTTTAAGGCCTATTATCTTCTGCGCGCTTCAATGTATAGACTACGTTTATTTTTAAAATACAAGTGTCTGATTGGCTAATAGCACAGTTAAACCGAGTTTATGCATTGAACCGCGTCGAAGGAAACGGACATGAGAGCTTCAAATATCCGATTAGTCCGAAAAATGTGTTAAAGCTACTAAATTTCAGTTAAATTTCAAATAGTACTTTGAATTTACATTATCGTCAAAGTTATCTAATTAAACTCTGTTTGAAAGATCTTCAGGTAAATATTATTAATCAGTAGTATTGGCAATGTTATGAAAATAGATTTTATATTTACGACTACAAGCGTGTCGTTCATTATATTGTAAAAGTAATCTGTCACTTTTATATTTCATAATTATTTTCATGATAATTATGAAAGTGACCTAAGTGACAATATGAATAAATTATGTTAATAATTGAACCATTTTTTTTACAATGCACAAACGCAAAAATCTAATTATCCAAAATACCCACCGTGTGAAGATCACTGATCCTGTCGAAACAATACAGTTCTAACGTATTCTAACAATTTCTAAGCTCCACAGCAGTCTTATTGCGTGAAAACGATTTTATTAATCTAGATCCATTGTGCCAGGATTACTGGTTCTGTCGGAATAGTACAGTTCTAGAATAATTCATAAATAGGGGGTAAGGTGAAAGGCGATTTGGACATTGAGGTATATTGTCGATGGGCAATCAAATGTCAAGCATTTAGTCGTCAGGTATATTGGTTCCAGGAATTTCGTCACTGGGCATTTGCCGTGGGCATTTTGCCTAGGTGATTTGTATGACACCGTCGTGTTAATGTAATTAATTACTAAAGTCCGTATTCACAACTCGCTCTTAAAGTCACTAACAGAGTGGCTTGTAGTTAAAAGTCACTAAGAAAAAATTTAAAAACGCGCTATTAGCACTAAAAGCGAGTTCTGAATACGGGCTTAAGTTTACAGGTACGGATTCGACAGGATGAACTTACACGTGATTGGTTAATCGTTTCTAAACCCATGCGTTAAGGATTCAAGTAAGATCGACGAATCACGTTCGCCTTCTGAAACGTTCCATGATTAGTTCATTTTCTCTAAATTCTGAGTTTGGAAACGTAATCATCGGAAGTACCTGTCACAAGTGTGTTCGAAAATGAACCGAGGCAACAATGCTCACAGCACTATCAACTGAACTTTGAACGCAGCTGTCGTAGGTTTGTTCGCAAACCAATCATATTGTTTACGTTTGGAATCGAGCTAAGAGAAAATCAAATTTTACTTATTATTTAAAGATGCTTTAATTAAATAAAAAATTAATTGCGGAGCAATTAGGAGCAAACCGAGAGCAATTAGTTCATCAAGAAAATCATATGAATATCTGCTTGGTTATTTGTAATTTCAATAAAAATAAAAATTTTCTGTTTTAATTAATATTTATTAATTATTGAATAGTAGCAACAGTGCAATTATGGTATTATATGGAGCATTTAAGGAGCAATTTTGTAGGCATCATAAACATAAATTTTTATTTTCTCTAGCTAACTTCCCGACGGTGAAGGAATTACGGATTTCTGTAATCTTTGAGAAGTTTCAAGTGCTCTTTTGGACAGGATATTTTGGAATTACCAGTGTAAACATTTATATAGATGTACTGCGCATGCGCACGACCCCCATGTTATTTTATCACTTCCCGCGCTAAATTGCGCTAAATGCAATATATTTAGTGTGGAGTGTTGTGCAGTGTATTATAATTTTACTGAATTTAATGATTTGTTTCCAGCAGTAAATAAGCAAACTCTTACAATATGAGTCAAAAGGCTTTTTCGGGTCCTGCAGCTAAGCGGCCAAAGACCAGGTTTTATTTTCCGCTCCTTATTCTTTAATGTTCTATAATTCGAGATAGTGTAGTGTTATGATATAACCTAATGATCAATGGTACAAACGTAATAAGACCAGTGTCATTTGAAACACGGTATCGAATGAAATAAAATCGTTTAATCTACCATTTATTGGTAGTAAATAAATTATAGTTGCCTGATCAGCTGTAATGTAGTTTTAAAAATAAGTGACAAAAATTTCAAAGATATATTCTGTAGGAGTTATCGTTATCATGAATTGAAATATAATTCGTTTGTGGATTCACCGACACCAATCTCCCTTACAAATGTATAAGTGATGTTTAAACATGATGATTATTTTAGGGGAGATGATGACGAGGAAGATTTCCCTGGCTCTTTTGAAGCAGAGCTAGCTAATATGAACGACATTGATGATGATGATTACATTGATATGTCCCAAGTTACAGAAGAGGTAATTATGATTACATACTTATATTTTATAAATACCTAAAATATTTCTCTAGAATTATTTATTAATGATAGTGTTATAGTGCAACAATAGCTTTAAGTATACAAAACTCTAAATTCAATGTCATTATTTTTATTCTAGCCACACAGTTATAATCAAATGAAAGTGAGTTCTAAATGAGCTTTTAATTAGCTGCTAGAATCATTATATTCATTTGAGTAACCTTCCCATCACTGTACTTTACTTTGTCTATCATTTACCATGTTATGCTATACTTATCATTAATACAAATGGTCTTATATTGTTAATTGCTATATAGATTGTTCATTATTAAATGAATTCTCTAGGGACCTGAGCAAGAAGCTACATCAGCTAAATGGAGTAGACCACCACCACCTGCTTTAAATCCTGCAAAGGATTCATTAACGTTTCAGCAGATAGAAGTGGATCACTATATAGGTATATTCTTAAGATATTTGAATTAAGAAGTAGAATATTTAAACAAAGATATTTCAGGAAGACCAATCTCTGGGATGCCTGGAAGTACTGTTGGTCCAGTACCAATAGTACGAATGTTTGGAGTAACTGAAGAAAGAAATTCCGTCTGTTGTCATGTTCATGGTTTTTCTCCCTATTTGTATGTGACTGCTCCTGATAAATTTACCAACGACCACTGTAAACCATTTATGGTACTGATAATTCTCAAATAATCAAAACGGAATCCAATTTCTTAATGTTACTAAAATATTTGGATTGGCTTTTTTTTTTAGAAGGCCTTGAACCAGGCTATATTAAAAGACTTACGGTCAAATCCCTACAATATTCAGGAAGCAGTTCTCTCTGTTGAATTGGTTAAAAAACAAACTATGTATGGATATGCAGGAGAAGAAAAAATGCTTTTTTTAAAGATCACAGTGGCTTTACCAAAATTAATAGCACCTTGCAAAAGATTACTTTCTAAAGAAACAGTTTATGCAGCCTTTATTCATGAATACAGAAGTTTTGAGAGTAACATTGACTTCGATGTCAGGTACCAATCTGTTAAAAACAATATATAAAAAGAGAACTGTTAATAATTATAGTAAATTTATTAAATAGATTTATGGTAGACACTTCACTAGTTGGATGTTCTTGGGTCAAATTACCAGCTGGCAAATGGAAGCTACGTGGCCACTATGGATATCATGAACCAGCAGTGACGAGATGTCAGTTAGAAGTAGATATTGCTTATGATGCCTTTATTGCACATGAACCACATGGCGAATGGTCCAAAATAGCACCATTCAGAATTTTGAGCTTCGACATTGAATGTGCTGGTAGAAAAGGTAAGAAAAAAGCAAAGACAGCAAAAGAACGACATTGAACTATACTCGTTTAATTAATTTCAGGAATATTTCCGGATCCAAAATTTGATCCTGTTATACAAATAGCCAATATGGTTATAAGACAAGGAGAGACTGAACCGTTTTTGCGTAATATTTTTACATTAAATACTTGTGCCCCTATAGTAGGATGTCAGGTACTAAGTTTCGAGAAGGAAAGCCAAATGTTGGAGGTGATATATTATCTATCTTGGTAGCAATAAGACTTTCAGCAAATTTATGATACCTCTAATACTGAATTTCCATCTTTTTAAGAAATGGGCAGACTTCATAAGACAATTGGATCCAGATATCTTCACTGGCTACAACATAAACAACTTTGACTTCCCATACCTAATAAATCGCGCTCAGCACCTCAACGTGTCGAGCTTCAGTTATCTAGGCAGAATCAAGAATATAAAATCTGTAATCAAGGATCAAGTCTTACAAAGCAAACAGATGGGAAGGCGTGAGAACAAATCTGTAAATTTCGAAGGACGCGTGCCCTTTGATCTGTTACTAGTATACTATCTCTTTCTATATTAAACCAGAACAAACTCCTTTATCATTATTATAATATTTGATAATTTCCAGGTACTGGTACGAGATTATAAATTACGTTCTTACTCTTTGAACGCAGTGAGTTTTCATTTTCTTCAAGAGCAAAAGGAAGACGTTCATCACAGTATAATCACTGATCTCCAGAATGGCACACCTCAAACCAGAAGACGTCTAGCAGTTTACTGTCTAAAAGATGCGTACCTGCCACTGAGATTGCTTGACAAACTAATGTGTATAATAATTTACATGGAAATGGCCAGGGTAACTGGAGTCTCCTTGCCAAGTTTACTAACTCGAGGTCAACAGATAAAAGTGATATCTCAGTTACTGCGAAAGGTAAGATAGTCCTAATACAAATTTTAGTTGTTATGCTTGTCTTATGAGTAGTGTTTTTATTATTTTCTATTTTCTAGACAAAGGAAAAGGAATTCCTTATGCCGGCACATGAAGGTCATGGGAGTGAAGAACAATTCGAAGGTGGAACCGTTATTGAACCAAAACGTGGCTACTACAACGACCCAATAGCAACCCTGGATTTTAGTTCACTATATCCCAGTATTATAATGGCGCATAATATCTGTTATACTACTTTATTGAATGCTAGGGCGCAGAACAAGTTTAATCTACCTAGTGAAGATGTGACCCATACTCCATCCAATTGTAAATTCGTGAAGGAATCCGTGAGGAAGGGAATTCTTCCTGAAATTCTGGAAAATCTTTTATCAGCTCGAAAAGCTGCAAAAGCAGAGTTAAAGAAGGAAACGGATCCTTTAAAGCAAAAGGTCTTAGACGGTAGACAATATGCACTTAAAGTTTCCGCGAATTCGGTGTATGGTTTTACCGGTGCCCAGATGGGGAAATTACCCTGTCTAGAAATATCTGGTGTAAGTAATAACTATTAGGAGAATATTTTAACTCTATTTTTTGATTTAATATATGTTACCATATTTTAGAGCGTTACGGCTTACGGCAGGACAATGATAGAGCGAACGAAACAAGAAGTCGAAAGTCATTTTCGCATTGAAAATGGTTACAAGTATGACGCTAATGTTATCTATGGCGACACGGATTCCGTTATGGTAAAGTTTGGCGTGAAGGCCATCGTCGAGGCTATGGAGCTAGGAAAGGAGGCTGCAGAGTACGTTTCTGCAAAGTTTATCAAGCCTATAAAGTTGGAGTTTGAGAAGGTCTATTTTCCATATTTACTTATCAATAAGAAGCGCTACGCAGGATTGTATTTCACGTCACCTGATAAGTATGATAAGATGGACTGTAAAGGATTGGAAACTGTGAGACGCGATAACTGTCCCCTAGTAGCTAATATGATGAATATGTGTTTACAGAAACTACTCATAGAAAGGTACATTTTCTGTTAAAAAATAAGAATTCCTTGGTAAATTCAAACAGAGAAAGAAAATGTTACAGACACTGGTTTTTCTTCAGGAATCCTGATGACGCCGTGGACTACGCCAAACAAGTGATAAGCGACCTTCTCTGTAATAAAATTGACATCTCACAGCTAGTGATAACAAAGGAATTAACGAAGAATGATTACACGGCTAAACAAGCCCACGTAGAACTAGCTGCTAAGATGAAAAAGAGGGATGCCGGAACGGCGCCAAAATTAGGGGACCGGGTACCTTACGTGTTCACTAGTGCAGTGAAGGGTACACCAGCTTATCAGAAAGCCGAAGATCCAATTTATGTCCTGGAGAACAACATACCCATCGATGCAAATTACTACTTAGAAAATCAGCTATCTAAACCGCTGATTAGGATATTTGAACCAATTCTAGGCAATCGTGCCGAGGCGCTTCTTCTTCGTGGTGAACATACCAGAACCAGATCTGTAGCTACTTCTAAGGTGGGTGCCATGGCAGCCTTCACCATGAAGAAACAAACTTGTTTGGGTTGCAAGGCTGTGCTTCCTCCGGATCTAGAGAATTCGGCACTTTGTTCTCACTGCCAGAAACAGGAAGCTGATCACTTTCAATATGAGCTGTCACATGCACGTAAACTGGAGGAAAAATTCTGTAGGCTGTGGACGGAATGTCAGAGGTGCCAAGGAAGTCTTCACCAGGAAGTTCTCTGTACAAGGTCAGTGTTTAACTTCAGATTGATTTTCTTCTTTTTATTATCTGTATATTATTTAAAATTATTCTTTCTTGCAACAGCCGTGACTGCCCCATCTTTTACATGAGGAAAAAGGTCCAAATGGAACTGGACACTCAGGTGAAGCGGGTCGCAAGATTTGGTATTCCCGAATACTAATTAATGTGAGGTAATGAAAAAATGCTGTCTTTTTCGTACTATTACATTTGAGAGACTCTTGAGTCTCCTTGCTCCTTCCTCGTTTCTTTTTCATAACATCTAAAATGTAAATAACGCGTTTATCCGGAAGTCGGATTGGGTCCCTCAAACGAAATGAACGAGTGTAATAGGGTCGAGTAGCTCATAAAAAATTTGTCTCTACGATGTTTACAGCTTAACATTATTTATTATGAAAAGGAGCTTTCTTCTTTTATCTCTCCTACCATTCTCTATATCACTTTGAAAATTCAGTACAGGTGAATGGATCAGTTATGAAATCTGATGGTGAAACGCTGGTGCTAAATGCGTGTAATATGTCTTATCATGACGTGACCTTTCTTATATTTGGCGACTCAGCTGAAGAAAAAATATATTTTCATTCATGTGCCTCAACCCTATGGAACGTACAACTTCGGTTATCTCCATTCTCGTTATACAAGTTTCGAAACGCGTCGAAGGATAATCATGCAATAATATAAGGAATAAGAAAAATAAAAGGCCGAGTAAAGAAAATAAAGAATTAACTTGTGTATAACGGTTTTGCTGAAGAGCCATATAGTGATGCTTCGATCGAATTTTTGCTTTTTGTTGCAAGCTGTAAACACAGTCGACAGTGACGTATCGATAGTGGCATTAATAAATAATGTGTGTAGGGCGTAAAAAGAAAAAGGTAAAGCTGACCTTGGACGCATCCTTTTTTTTTATACCGCGCAAAGACACTTTCGATTAATGGTGACTGTCGAGTGACTAGTCGTCCCGTTAAGGCTCGAACAATCGTAACACGGCTCTTGAAAAAATGCCATTCTCACTTTCTGCTCTGCAAGGCATTCGATAACCAGTCCATTGCTTGATCAAGGCCTTCACCCTTTGTTGCAGAAGTCTTGAATATTTGAAAGGTTCTGTTCTTCAGGGCATCCAGGCCCAGAGCTTGATGGACCTCTGCAACACTGAGGCAACCTGCCATATCCTGCTTGTTCGCTAACACCACAAGAATTGCACCTTGAAGTTCATCTTCCTGGAGAAACAGCAGACAAAGCAGATTTAGGTTTATTTTTAACTTATTGAGGAATTATAATTAATATCTGCACTCTAGAGAAACGCGGATCTTATAAAAAATTTGTATAATAAATTACTTTTTTTACTATTCAAAATAACGTGTACTTACTCTTAACATGTACAGTAACTCATCTTTCGATATTCCTATCCTATCCCTATCAGCTGAATCCACAACATAAATAATTGCATCAGTGTTCGAATAGTAACATCTCCAATATGGTCTGTGAACAAGAAACTAATTATAACCTTAATTAAGGAATAAGAAACTGATAAGAAGAATAAACATACCGTATACTTGTTTGGCCACCAAGATCCCAGACTTGGAACTTTAAATTTTTGTAAGTAACTTGTTCCACATTAAAACCTATCGTAGGTATAGTAGTGACAACTTCACCCACTTGTAATCTAAAGAGAAAAGTGTCAATTAACAAAACATTTCTAAAGCATCATATTATTACCCCAATTTTACACGAGTGAACAATGATCTTAAGTCAACTATGCTCAAGGAAATTAAGTGTACATTGTCCAATATTTCATGAATTAGAGATAAGGCATGCCTATAACACTTTGACAAACCTATAAAGGATGGTAGTCTTGCCAGCGCCGTCTAAGCCCAGAATGAGAATTCTCATTTCACGACTGCCTAGCAGGTTGCGAAAATAACTGAGCAGCCCTCCTAAAATGACAAATCAAATGATTATGTAGCACGCAGCTGATGATGTTTCATAGAAGTTGTCACAAGTTACCACAGTGACTTTCTTATCCCGGTGAGCATAACTCTATGTATGGCGTCATTATGAATATGCAAACCGAATTAGAGTAAACTCACCCATATCGATAATCTGCTATTTCCAAGGCATATAATTTCCGTAATAGACTGAAAATTACTCCTATCTTGTCAGGGTCTACAACCCTGCTTATTCGGTACGACTGTATACGACAGATGCCAGTTGCCCGCTACCACACTATACTGAAGTCGCCTTACAATTTATTGACAGGCGTGGCAACATTTTAACATTAAATTCTTGTTTGGAGAACAACGGTTACACTGCAGGAGAACTCAAAAGAGTTTGAACTTCTTAATAGAGGGTGAAATGAATTATTTTATTATACAATATATCAATTAATGTCTGGTACTTGACCTTTACAAATTTATAAAATCATTAAAAGGATAAAAAAGAAATCAATTATGAACGCTAATCCATTGGACCTTCTAATGCTTATTATTATTGTCAAATGAGATCGGAATAGATTAATCAAATTTGGTTTAGATTACAAAGCATTCCTTTTCATAAGCGTGCATCTTGTAAGGAACTTAGTACTCTTATTTTGCAAATACATATTCATTGCTGAATCAACAGTTAACAATATTAATAGCTAAAGTAACTTTGAAAGCAAGTGCAACAATAAAAGTATAGAAGAATAGATGTGCCTGCAAAAATAATCTTCAACAATGTCTATAATATGCAATGTTACATTGTACTATAACAACAAGATATCATCAAGCAAATGTTGTTTTGTATGGTTTATCTTAACAAAAAGTTTCATAACGGTGGCACACTATTATAGAAGAGTAACTTGTTTAAAGTATATTGTGCTCAATATGGCATGTTAGAGATTCTTAACTATACAAAGAGAGAATTCTTGAATTAAGTTTTTTTTATCGTCATATCAAAAAGAGGATTTATATTAAGGGCATCTAGAAAATGGACCAGATGCGGCTGATAACCGCTACTTGCAAATCTGTCAGCCACGTATGCTAGATACGTCCTTAGTTCACAAAAACTCTCATACATTTGCTCGAGTTTCTCATAATTTGGATGCATGTAACCATTCGGTTCGCGAATCCAATTTTGTGAACGAACTCGATTATGAAATTTCAATATGACCTTAAAAATACTGCGCAAACTGCTGCGCATCTTAGCACCATTAGCATTTAGCATACACCTGTAAAATAAGAAATTATATTAAATTCAAACGCACCATTAGTTAATATAGTATTAACACATTCACGTCGGATGACGCCTAATGTCGTCATTCAAGTTATCGTTTAACTATTCTTTAAAAATATCATTTTTTCCACTTATTACTAGATTTTTTCCATATGTAGACACTAATAATAAACTGAGGAATGTTTTCCCAATAATATGCTTTATCTTTTCTTATCGATTCTTCCTTTATACCTGTATCTATACTTATTCATTGTTTGGCCGCTACTTATCGAAACCAGCCCCGTAAATAAGCACTCTGTATTGTGTTCGATTATCGCTCTACAAATCTATCCTCAAAATATATTCTCTTTTTTATTTATTCGAAAGATATTTAACTAGGATTTTAGGAAATTTGAAATGGAATATTACTTAGTATCTACTTTGCTACTGAAACTGAAACATTCTCTTCGAAACTTCCAACGACATAAGAACAGATCCCGTCTAAAAAGTACAATTTATAGAAATTTATTTTTGTGTATAAACAAGTCCTATGCTCCGTTCTTTAAAATTTTATACTGAAATATTAATTACATAAAAAGTTATAGTAATTTTTCTAAACCTATGCGCGACTGTAACATTTGACAAAAAACGGCCCCGTACCCACGGTAAGCACAGCCAGCAAACGCCCCGTCGCGAATGTGTTAAAGTAAGACTGAAGTTACAATGACTGACCTTGACAAAATCTTTTTGATGTAGCTCACGTGTGTGTAATAAACCTGATCTAAAGTGATGGCCTGTTCCAGATCTTTCTCAAATTCATTCCAACTAGCATGCAGAACGCTGCAAGTTAGATAATTATGAAGTGCATTGACAAACTGCATCATAGCATGCCTGTACAGCTGGAGCTGTGAAAAGGATTTGTTATTATTATAACTGCAAAGAATACAGTTAATTTAAAATTGTATGCATACCTTGTGATACTGTTTAGAGTTCATAGCCTTACGCTCCACCTTTAAGATGTGAAAGTCTTCCTGCAGAACCCAAATAACACGTCCGACTGATATGAGGAATTTAAAAACCTTAGTGTACTGAAGCATCGAGTTCTCATCTAGGATAATATTTAGTGGCCAGGATATTTTGTAATTCAGGGAGAGACAGTCAAGAGCATCAGGATCAGAATACAGGAATCTCGGTGGGACATCCACAGTTGAGAGACTAAGAAATTCAGAGTTTGTATAACTATTGTTCAAAGAACTCATCAGTGCACGCTCGAGGATATTAGTCAGGGTAGCAGAGTTAAGTAACTCCATAGATACCGAAGTAGAGTAGAGTCCAGTATACAAAGAGTTGGTTAAACTCTTTGCAAACTCTCCATTCAACAGGAAAAAGTAACTGCGTAAGCTTGTCATGTGAGAAAGCATATTATGCTCACACAGTAAATACTTAATAAGAGCATCATTGACAAGATGACTTTGAATTCGCAACGGAATCATAACAGATTTTTCAAGGTACACCTGGAGAGAAGTGTTGTCAATCATCTCTACGTCAGCAGCTGTCAATGTAGATTCAGAGGTTGGTGTCAAAGCAGCTGAACCAAATCCCACAAAATTAGGATAGATAGTAGTCCTTTGTGGAAACTTAAATCCAGACTCAGTGACATGAGAGCTAGAAATATCACCAGTTGGTATTTCCGCAGTTGCAATAATAGATGGAACTTCACTACCAATTTCAGACAGAGGTGTGTCACTGTAGGGTGGAATTTGAGACATGCTACTGCTCATTGACAATGGAAAATTGTCAGTGGTACATGACATAGGCGTCGTTCCATCAAAAGCGTCGTGGTACGTTGTACTAAAGCTCATAGTGAGTGCTGGTGTTCCAGCACTACTTCCTGCACTGCTTGCTTCATTTGTCTTCTCCACTGTACCAGTTCCATAGATGTAAAATTCCTGCTCCATGACTCTAGCACGGTTTCTTTGAGCTTCAGTGAACCTTGTTGTTTTAAACCTCGGTTGAGGTTCATCCTTAAGGATATTTAAAGATGATACTTGACCTGGACGGTTTACCTGTTCAGTACTCACATCACTGGCTTCATGTACTTCATCTATCCTCTCTGTATTCTGTCTCCTTTGTATATCATTCTCCAAGAAGATCAAGTTGCCTTCATTGTTGTTTGGTGTCAAGCTATATTCCTGTTGTAGGACTTTCAATCGATTACGTTGCAAGTCCGTCATGTTATCGGCATTCCTAAGTTTCAAAAATTCGAATCTGTTAGCCATCAAGTCATTATTTACATCCATAATGTTGATAACATCTGAAAATTGGACAGAGCTGTTAGTGTTTCTGAGACGATTAGCGAGCTTCTCAGTTTGAGCTATTGGTATATCATGAAACTGATCGTCAGCATTGTTCTTGTTCTGTTGATCATAATCACAGCTTGAGAATGTTGTATGTAACATCATTTTAGCTCTGTTGCGTTGCAAGGCTTGTTCTTTCTGTGGATTCATCTGTTGATTTACAGGTTCAATTGAAAGAGTTATTGGTGTAATATCTAAGACAGTGGGACGTGGTGACTTTATAGAGACGGACTGATGAACTTCCATAGTACTCTTATGATCGGGGTGGAATTTGACGTCATCCTTCGTAGAGGTATTGACTGCAGGTTCCAAATCTGTCGTCTTGTTACTTATGTCTAAGATACATGATATGTTATTAGACACTCTGGTGTTATCAAGATTACTATTCTCATCCGGACAAGTGTTAGCATTGCGATCAGACGGTTCTGTGCCGAAGTCAGTAAGCTGTATATTGACTTCTGCATCAACTTCCGGTTTTTCAGGTCTAACACTCTCCACCTCTTCTTCTCGAATGATTTCCTGTTTATCATTCTCATCAGTCTGGATCATATCTGATTTGTTAATGGCCTCTGTGAGTGGTTCATCCTTACTTTCCCATAGTTCATGCCTTGCACTAGATATAGCAATAATTCTATTGTCAAACAGCTGCATCCGTTTGATCCGCCATTCTGCACGAACACGTCGTCTTTCAGCTTCGGCAGCTAATTCATTATAATAATTCAAAATATTTGCTTTTTCTAGACAGTTAATCCTGTCAGCCTCTTCCTGTTCTCTATTGACTTTCTCAGCTAATAATTTGTCAGCTAACAACTGAGCTTCCTTGTCCTTTTCTTTACGTAGTACTGCTTCCTCAGCCTGATTCTTAAGCTTGGCAAGAAGGTCTCGTTTATTCTGTGCCAGGATTTTAATAGACTCCTCGCGCTCCCTCTTTATACGTAGTAACGTATCCTGTTGCGCGATGCTTACAAGCTCAGCACGTTGTCGCTCGACCTTTCTCTGATCTTGAAAAGCAGTAGATAATGAGACCACATTACCCAATGCATCCTGACCTCTGGTCATGTACTCCTGGCAATGCATAGCCTGTTCGCGTAACTGGTCTACACTGAGACAGACCCTGACAGCAGGATGAGAAGTAGCAAAGACACCACATAAAGGATTCTTCGGATCACATAACTTCAGCAGTCTCACTGCTTTCCCACATTGAAGTATAGATTCTGTGAGACTATCTAAAAACCTTGGCACAGATTTTGTATTGATACCAAAACCCTTCGTCCAGAATTTACGTCCACGTTGACGCAGGTACTGTGGTCGCATCTGTATCATGAATTCCTCGTACTCATCTTCGCACACTCCTTCAAAGAGCCACCTTTGGAGAAATCGAAAGTATACTTCGCAGCAAGACTTGAGTATCGAGTAAAAGATCAGAGCAATATCCGGTTGAGTGACCTTTGTCACTTCTTCGTAGATGTGGGTCAGAACGCTAATACCCTTTTCTAACATGGAGTCGCTCTTGTCATCGCATCTACACAAAACAGCGACTTCTACAATCATGTCACCCAAAGGTCCTAAAGTATCTAGGACCTGCAAAATTGCTCCTGGCCTCTCAGAATTCTTGTCAACGGAAATACGTAAAACTGCCGCTTGATAACATAAAAAGAATTCCTTGATGCTGTTACACATGGCCTTGAAAATAAGACCGTCCTTTTGCAGTTTTCCTGTTTCCGGATTGCATGTTATTAGCATTGATAAAGCTCTGAATGAATTTCCCCATTCGATAGGCTTACGGCATACGTCTTGTAGCATCTCTGCACTAACTCCTGAGATTACAGTATTTTGTTGCAATTGAAATCCAAACATGTTACTGTAGTGGAAATTGTCGCTCTCTATCCCAAGTAACAATAGCTTAATATTTGATAGAAATTCTTTGCTGGAAACTTCTGTTATCTCTGTCAGTGATTCCAAGGCATTTTTTTGCAAAAGGGGAGCAATCGTCGCCAGTCTGATTTTTTCTAAATGTAACATAGCTTCCTTTGTTTCTGTTAAAAATCTTGGCTCTTTTGGTGGATTCAATTGGCCTAATGTTTCCCATGTGCGATGATTAGGAATACATTCTGTCTCAAGTTCCTTATCAGAGATGGAACTAAATAGATCGGTGGTTCCTTCTGATTCTTGATAAGAATCATTTTTATTTAATGTCTCTATTTGATCTATCTGTGATTCACTCTCCATGCCTGTATGTACGGATGTAATCTCTGGCCATAGGGATTTTGCTTCCACGCTAAAATGTTCTTCCTTCTCGTTGTGGTAATCTTCATTGGGATTACCATTGTCTTCCTAAATAATATTTGAATTTTATTTTTATTTTTGATTGGACCTAAGAAGGCAGTAGGAATTATAACTTTACCATAATTTGTGGGAGGAAATGCATTCCCATCGTGAAGTCCTTTACAGATGGTAGTGCAAGGTTTCCTCTCGATATAGAATACATTATTGATAGTGGTGCACTGTCGTTTCTGTATCAAAATTATAAAACAATATGCGTTGAAAAAAGAAGTAATAAAAAATGTCAAGAATTGAATGTTTATTATTACCTACCTGGTAGATTCTGTTTCAATCATTGTTGCTGATCTAAATTGGCCAAGAAAAGAAAGATTGCTACCAGGTTCAGCTGTGCAATCTTGTATAATACTACTACCCTTTATACCTAATACTGTTTCGAACTTTTCTGGTAATACAAATGATTCAATAGGGTATGTTTGAAAAGGCATGACTCCTTTTCCATCCCAACAGATCTCTGGTAAAACAGGATTTGCTTTTCCATAGTGAAAGATATTCTAAGATAAAATGTTCAGCAATACAATTCATTATAATAACAATGTGTTCCTCTTAAGATTTTAACATAAATATTTAATTACCAGTGAAAATTCTTCTTTGTTCTCAAGACTCCTTAGTTCAATCAAAAAATATAAAATGGAGCACACTGTTGAATCAATATCTTCCTCATTAAGCTTGTCTAAAACATTTTCCAAATTCTTTGCTCGAGAAATCCCATTTTTCCTAATCCTTAAATGGTATGAATGTTTTAATAATTCCACTATCGGATCTCCAAGTTTATTCTTCCACTTAACTGTTAAAGCAAAATATAATTATTTTAGTAATCAACAATATTCGTTATATGTGAATTGAATACAATATCTTTTATGCTGACCATTAAATTTATTTGCATCAGAACACTTATTCAGCAATATACCATAAGCTTGTGATCTAAGTTTCTTCACAATCTTTGTATTATCTTTTTTTGGTAAGTAAGGATGATCATTAGATGGATTCTGTTTCTCAGCAAATCGCTCACATAATTCAGTTATTAGGCCATAAACACCAATGTTGTTTTCCAAATCCATTGTCCTAGGACAGTTTTACAGACAAGTCAAATTGTTATCAATTGTATGAACCGGAAACGTAAATCTGAAATGTAATACTGTGCTTAAAACACAAATTTTACTGATTAATTTAATTAATAAAATGTTTGCCAAGATGATTTTACACATGAAATGTGTATGCTCTGTCACTCACTTCTAATACTTTTACATCATAACATTTTATGAAAATATTAATGGTTGTATAACTCAAGATTATATTTACATCACATTTTTAATTCGGCTATACATTTGAAAAGCAGAGTAACAACAACAATGTTTTTTACTATTGATGTGTCAGAAATTTCAGAGTCTGAATTCATGGTCTGAATTTTCATCGTAGTTACGCCATTGTCTATTTGCCAGCTGCCACATAACCGCACATAACCTTAAATCACACAGTTAATTTACATACATGTATAGTTGCACGTGTAATTTAGAGAATAAAATATGCCGAAGTTATTTGTTGCCGACAATTCCGATTCTGATGAAGAATTGAAGATCAATGATGGTTATGCCAATAATTATAATACGTGGAGGCAGAAGGAGGAATTAAATAAATGTAAGTATAAGGAATTTTGTTAATACAGCTTCTCTTAATTTTTCTGCTATTTGTTCTGCTTAATTGTCGTATGTATTATATATTTTATACATTTAGTGAAGACTAAGTATGGTGAGAATGCTGCTGAGTTACAAAATTCGGAAGAGGATTCTAGCAGTTCATCGGATGAGGATGAAGAAGGAAATGTATGTTGTATTAAATGCATTGGAAATGCCAGCTAATCAGTATATTTTCTTTCAGGAATTAACAGAACAGTTTGAAAAAGACTTTTATAAAACCCTTGCTTGTCTAAAAAACAAGGACCCTAAAATATATGATGGGAACATAGAATTCTTTAAGGATACAAATACCTCAATTGAAATTAATGAAGGTAATGGGGAAAAGAAAAAAAAATCCAAAGAGAAAGCTACATTCTTACGTGATTATGAACGCGAGATTATCACCAAGCGGGGTGGAAAGCTAAGCGATAGTGAAGAAGAAACAGAAGTGATTGACAAGAAAATCAGTGAATCACGAACACCCACTTATGCTGAAGAGCAACACAAACTGAAAGAAAATTTCAAAAAATTATTGGAAGATGATCAAGATGAAGAAGAAACTGGATTATTGATACCTAAGAAGAAAACAGAAGAAGAACGTCAAAAGGTTATTTTTAATATTTAAAAAAAAACTTCAATTTTGTTCCTCTCTTTTTAATTCCAATTACAGCTATTTATTATTTAAATATTTAGGAGGAAGAAACTTATATTGAATGGTTAAAAGGTCAAAAGACAGAAATTGCTACTGATGAACAGCAAGAACTAAAACCATTAAGAGATTTTTGGACGGATCCTAATTTGGACCCAAACGAAAAGTTCCTCCGGGATTACGTTTTGAATAAACAGTTTCTTGAAAAAAAATCTGGAGATATTAACCTGGATTATGAGCAGGTAGCTCATGATAGTGATGAAAATTTATCAGAGGATGAGAAAATTATAGAAAAGCAAGAAGAATTTGAGCACAAATACAATTTCAGATTCGAGGAACCTGATCAAGAGTTTATTAAAAGGTAAAACTCAGATTTAATAATATATACATCGAAACTGTCAAGCGTTCTAACCAAAAAACAACAATAATTTCAGGTACCCTCGAATGCTGGAGAACTCATTAAGAAAGAAAGATACGCGTAGAGCCCAAAAGAGAGTGGAATTGAAACAAAGAAAAGAAGAAGAGAAGCTTCGAAAGCGCGAAGAGCTAAAACAACTGAAAGCTTTAAAGAGAAAAGAGATTGAAGAAAAGATTGAAAAACTCAAAGAAATAACTGGTACATACGAAATTAATTAAAGTTAATAAGTGATTTCAGTTATATATTAAAATTAGATCATAATTGAATACAGTTGATCATTAACATCAGGAAACAACGACATACGCTTCGAAAACATCGATCTGGAAGGAGATTTTGACCCTGCTGAACACGATCGTAAGATGCAAGAGTTATTTAACGATGATTATTATGGTGGCCCTGAGGGAGACGTGAAACCAGAGTTTCCGAATATCGATACCGAATTAGGCATCGAGACGACCTGGGACTTTTATGATCCAGATGCTGAGGAAATCGCACCTGAGGATGAACCTTATTACGAGGGTCCGCATTGCGAAGATCCACAGTTCAATGTAAGATCCATCTTTCTGCACACTCACAATAAGAACAATTGTTTATTGATATTATATTTCCCGATTGTAGATGGACGCTGATTATGATCCCAACAAAAAATTGGAAACTGAACTCGTGGATTCTACCAGGAAGAAGAAACGTAGGAAACGCAGTAAATTCGCTGAACTCATAGCTAAGGAAAAGCCAAAATTCGATCCAAGTCATCACCCTTCTTATCAAGAATATTTTGATCAGTACTACGCTTTGGATTACGAAGATATGATTGGTGATCTACCGTGTAGATTCAAATATCGAAACGTAGTGCCGAATGATTATGGTCTTACTATGGAAGAAGTACGTGCATTTATTTTTAAACATCATAGAAATTATGAAAGATTCTTTTTTATCATTTTACAATATATTCGTTTCTGTATCACAGATTCTAATGGCAAATGACAAAGAGCTGAACAAATGGTGTCCCTTGAAAAAAACTTTACAACATAAGCCGCAACATGTAGAGCTAAATGAAGTTCGCCTGTATCGTCAGAAATCCCGAAATGAGTCTCTTAAAAAGAAAATACTTAAAAGTATATACAGGTAAGGATTAATCTAAATGTGCTTGATCAAGGGTAGTGTATAATATATAATATCGAAATTTATTAAAAACTAATGTTTTATTTAGCCCCGTGGAAGAGAGTGAGGATCAAGAAGGTACAATTGTTTTGCAAGGACAGCAGAGTCAAGAACCTGTAAAGAAGAAGCGCAACAGAAACACGAAAAAGAAAAACACAATTGACAGCATAAAACAATCCAACAATGTACACCAACAACAGCAACAACAATATGTCAAAGATGATTTGAAGAACAAAAATTCGAAGGGTCTAGTTAGTGTAAATAATAATAGTACTGAAGTTGTTGGAGAATCACAAAAGGAACCCATTGCTAACGGAGTGGTTAAAAAGAGAAATATCAAGAACAATGTGACAAAAAAGGCTCCAGCATCTTCTAAAGAAATGGCAGAGCATTCAAACGCATTCAATGAAGTTTCAGGAAAGAAACAAGAGAAGAAACTGCAGGGCAATAATGAGGGCATCAATGGAAGTACTGAGAATGTTGATGGAAGTGCAGAAACGTACCATAGAAAGCAAAGTAATAAAAATAATACTGTGAATGCAAATGACAATAAGAATAAAAATAACACGAACGAAATTACAGAAAGTGTTACATTGAAGTCCGCAAAAAGAAAAGGAAATTCCATCAACGTTGATGAGACAGAGATAATTCCTAAAAAGAAGAAAAAGAGCACTAACGATAATGAACAAACTAACAATGCCAATTCTGTGAAGAGTCACAAGAATAGTAAAAAAATTCAACGAGCCAACAAATACAAAAAATTGAATCCGAAACATAACAAGGGAAGCAGTCAAGATGAAATGGCATCTCTTAGTAAAAATAGATTAAAAGCCTATGGAATCAATCCAAAGAAGTTCAAAAATAAATTGAAGTATGGAAAGAAGAAATGAAAAATTATAAAGGTTGGAACTTTAATATATTGTATATAATTTCCATATGCAATATCTAAGCTTGAAACAATAAACTTTGTACGTAAATGTGTATCTTTTTTAGTAACTAAATAATTAAGTATATTAAATACTTCACTATGTTCACTCCTGAAGTATGCAAGGCCTATCATGAGGGATAATTCACTTACCTTCAAGAGGAACTCCAGAGACAAATCGAACTGAAATCAAATTAATGAAATGGAGGAAAAAGTCTTAACGACTGTTCAAACTCGACCGATTTATTAGGTCGAGTCATAAGTAGTTTCTGTTTCTAGGAACAAATTGCAGCATTTTATTTATTATCTTAATGACTCATGATACTCGACAGGTCAGAATCTGTTTGAAGTAAAGAAGTGTCCCTAAGTCTTATCACGGCAATGTCAGCGTGATTAAGATATAATTGTTGGTTACTTTATTGATGAATAAAACTGATATGCTAAAACGGAAATTATATATGATGCGACCTAATACATATCCACATAGCACACTGTCGACATATCATTCAGGCAATTTATACTATACGGAGATGGAAATCCTGTGTAGCGAGACATTCGATCGAGCATAAAATTGTCAAGATTCGAAATGACCCTGGACCCACGTGCAAAGTGAACACGATGAAATCGAACAGCCCCTGTATCAAGTACCACCATTTCTCCCTACTATCATTAGCTACTCGAAAATCCAAAATAACAGATTCTAGTAATAGAAACGAAGTCCAGGATGATAAATGATGTTTGAGGATTATTAGGATCACTATTTGCTTTTCTACAATATACCCACCCCTAATCCAACCCTTATGCTACTACCATGTCCTACAGGCATAGAGGCGCTTGGTCCATTTGGCGCCCTAGGTGTGAGCTTAACCACCCTTGACATACAGATTTCCATTACAGAAAAGATACAACAGTTAGGATTAAGAATTTCGACAAGAATTATTACATTTTTTTTATATCTTATTCCTACCAGCTGTTGTTTATACAATATTTCATATAATTGATTATCTTGTATTTTCATTATTTTTCAAGATTTCATAACGAAGTACATACAAAGAACAAGCTCCAGAAGTGGACTCAAGTCAAGAATAAAATTTCGAGAGACCGCACAACTGTACCTTGCTTTTTCAAGAGAGAAACGGATAGTCTTCTCATAAAAGTTGCGCTCAATCGCTGGATCCGGGAACGTAGAGTATAAGGGATCGGTTTCCCGAGGGTGCGATAAATCAATCCCTCTACTGTATCCAGGGTTGTAGTAGCAGGTGGCTTGTACGCCTAGTAACACTCACGCCCCTAATTCCCAATTAATGGCGTCCCTGCCTTAAACGTGTTCCTCCTACTAGTTCTCCCTCCGCTTACCCATTTTACCAGACAACCCCCTGCAATTCACCCCTCATACAATTACATACTGGTTGGCGAGCAACTGTTTTGCGCCTTCGCATCCTCTTGTCTCTGCGAGAACTATTGATATTAATTTCAATAAAAAATACATTTTTGAATCCTACTTACGATTAAAACTTCCTTTCATTTGTGGAACTGTTCTTGATACTTAATAATACTAAGAGGGTGCGACGCCTTGTTAAAAATGGATCAGAGTATGAATAGAATCTAGTGGTAATGAGAGCATTTCACGCTTTGACGCCTCTTAAGATGCCTCGACACAACCGTGTGAAATGATCTGATGTTCTAATTGGCGGAAAATTGTTCTGAAATGCTTTGGAGGAGGGGGAAGGGGATTGCCTAACGGTTCAATATAGTGAAGGGTGTCATTGATCTTCAATTATGGTTAATCAGTTTGATTAGAACAGTTTAAAGGCATTGATATAATCAACATCAAGTGTAAACATTTCATTATTTTTGTGTCATACACTCATAGAATTGATGTGTCATGCTGCTGACCGCTAGGACGTCGCTTCACGAAGATTTTCAAAAGTGATTATTGATTTCAATTTTAATTTTGATACTCATTTTATACTAATTATACCGTATTAAAATGTCTTAAGCTTTTCGTTTAATTTCATTGTTATCTACTGTTTTGTCCTAATGTTCTCTTTTATCAATCGTGACTGTTCAATGGTGGATTGGATAGGTCATAAACTGTTTATTATTATTATTAAATTCCAACGCATTTTTTATTAACACTGTGATCATGCCTTTACTTTCTTATCGATATAAATAATTAAATTTATTGTATAGGAATTGTTGTATTTACTTGTCCAACATCAAACATGGAGTTATTCATTTGAATAAGAATAATCAGATACGTTGTGATGGATGCAGCAACCTATTTAAAAAAAAAATATCGACAAATAGTAAGAATAAAATGTTTACTGTCTTTCAACGAAGTGAGATTTGATTAAATGAAGAAATTACATACTCGAAAGACGAATGCATTATCGAGTGTTAAAAAATCGTGAGCGGTGAACGATGCAGGATTCTGTATCAGTTGCATCGTGAATTTTTCAATCTATCAAAAAAAAAGAAAAAAGAACAACGATGCAAAAGCCAAAAATATATTGCAATTTTTTACTTGCCTCCCCGCGAATCTCTTTGCTCCGTTCGAAATTGTAAAATTTGAAAACAATTCCTCCAGTTTTCTGTGCCTGTACAGAATGTTGTCATTTTTTTATACGTTACGTCACTCGTCACACAACCCTGTTAGCACAATTGTCGAAATACCCTCTTAAAGATGACTTCAACTTGTCTTCAGACTAAATGACGCTTCCAAGTCATCTTTAAGGTGGTTCGCCTGACATCAACATAATAATAGTATTCCAATTTCTGTGAATTTCATGTATACGGTTCGTTACAAAAATATTTCCTACGTAAAGTAATATCTTCTAAACAAGCGGGAGGATAGCGATTCATGATTCAAAAAATGTTTGTAACACATATTGTTTAAATAATGCCGTAAAAAATGATAAAAACATTCCAAGATTTCCAATTTAAGAATCATCGTAGTAATGTACGATGTAAAAGAAGTGTAGCCTAAAAATTTTATCCAATTTTACCGCCTGAAAGATGAGATATCTTGAAAAAATATCATTGTTTTAACAAGCGAAGTATATCTATACACATAGTGCATTTTAGCTACTTTCATTTCATATATCTCGGAAACTAGAAGGTAATATAATTTTGAAATTTTTCACGCACGACTTCCAAGCACCCGCCAAGAACATACACAAAGTTCAGATCCGTATCTCGGAAGTACCTGAGTGATCAAACCATCTTAAAACGCTCTTTCGATATTTGTGCCAACATGGAATATACATACCGCGGCTGATGTAGCACCACATGTCTGACCTATGATGAATATTTTAAAGCAATAAAAAGTCAATATGTCAATTAGCCCAGCTGTTCGCAAGTACGTCTGAGAATCAAATGTCGTCCCTATCAGAATATTGTAGGTATTCATTAACCATGATATGATAAATACAACCGAAATTGTGATAGATATTAGCAACTGTACGTCAAATACTTTGTTTAAGTATTTCGACAATCGTATCAATTCTAAGTGTATCTGCCTGTAGAAATCGATAAATTATAATTTCATAAATAATCGTTAACTATGCATTTATAATTTTGTTCAGAAAATTCATTCTGTACCTGATTGATTTAATAAAATTACAGAGATTCTCTTCAGGTTGAATGTGCTCCTCTGTATCATCAATTTTAGATAAAGTTTTTAATCTATCAGAAAGAGTCTCGTTCAATTGTTCGAATTTAGTACCGATGTACCTAGGGAAATTAGAATATTTATTTGTAATGTTAGGACAAGTTTCAATGTGTTTTACTTTGATTGAAGCCATATAACTTTTATATTTTTTCACAGTGTACCCTAGCGAATGCAGTTTTGCCAAAAAATAAAAACTTTTCTTAAATAGCATATAGTAATTGACTTTTGGTAATTTTTGGGAGAGAAACTAGAATGTTACTAATACGGTATACAGACTTTGTGAAACTCCAAAAATGTCCCTACTCGAATTATATTATTTCGAGAAGTTATTGGTTCACTGATAGAAAAATTTCGGAAAAATAACCACAAAACTTCGGCAAATTTTGATAACAAAACTTCACAAAAGCACCGATGTCTTTAGGTTACTCTTATGTTAAGCGTTGCTAAATATCCGTAATCTTAGAAATTTTTCACGGGATTGAGTCTGTTACCAAAAAGTGTTCAATTAAAACCCACGAAATTTGGTCACAACAAATTCGCTAGGGTGGCTGTCGATCCCACGCAACCAATTGTCTACCACCTCATGCGATAATTTAAAGGTTAATGAAATTCAATGAAGACGGGTTTACCTTATGAAAATCACGAAATAGATGTCACTGACGTGGATAATTATGATTGGATAAAAGTAACCGTAGGAAAGAGATAATTTTATAGTCATTGTTATTCCACTCATGAACCATACAGTACATGCGGATGATATCAGTATGTTGAAACATAGTATGCAATACTGAATATACTGAAACCGCAGATGTCGCCAATGATTGTCTTTAATCCCTAATCGTTCCATAACCTTTATCACAGCATTCATTCGAACGAAATACACGTCTAAGTCCTGTAAAAATCAATGAATCAAATCAAAACAAGTTAAGGAACAAATCATTAGGTACAACAACATGAAGCATACGGTATTGTCTTCTTATTTACATTAAATTCATTATTAATACCTGTAACAATGCACTAACCTTTGTACGAGTCCACGATAAGATATCTATGAACAAGACAACTCCTATGTTCAAGTGACTAAACAAACTATATATTCGTCGGCCAATGTTGTTGGTTTTGACAATACTCAAAAAATCCGTTTTATCCATGACGAAAAAGACGACGTAACAATGGCTAATAAATAAAATACTGACGTATAAAATACTTAAAAGTTTTCGAGGTTTGCCAAGCGGGATTTCGATAACTCCATGACCAATTATCCAAAGCGAAATCGTCATTGGCCAGCTGATTTGTTTCAGCTCCATTTCAAGGTTTAAAAAATTTGATAAAACTTTCGAATCTGACTAATCACTTTCTCAAAGTATTGTAAAAGTTGTCAACGTATTAAGTGTCATTTGTACGGCTGCTCCGTTGACAGCAAATGGTCGCAGTACTACTTGGCATGGAATTCGTTTTTCGTATAACCTCGATTAATATCTGGGTCATTGCGTCAATTTTACGAAACGCGCATATTTGATATTTATCAACGTTAGATTTATGAATTTTTTAATATATAGATGTATTACTATTGATAAGCCTTAACAGTGGATATGAATTTTTTATTTTCTATTTTTTATTTCTTTCAATAACCTCACTTTTCGTGTTGATCGTTGTCCTTTAAGGCTCGATTCATTTTGACATTATGAATTGGACTTTATATTTATTGTTGTATTACAGTATTACAGAGGCTCTTACGTGAATTTATATCCTTCAGGGACGGACAGTTCTCAAATTCTTGTATCATTTAATAATTTAAGATATCGAGATAAGCAAGTATGCATAGGACTATACTGTAGTAGTATAACAGGGCCGATTCTGGATACAGATTCCTGCACCGACATAATACCGACACTCTAGAACCTTCGAAGGTGGGTGTCCGTGCTAAGTTGCCGTCGTGAGCTCTACGATTTCTGGAAGTGACGTCATCAGGACCCCTCGATTCCAAGAATTTTTGTTTGATTCCGGGAATTTTGCGTAACATTCCAGAAATTTTGCGCTCGATTCTAGGAATTACGCACGATCGAGAACCTTCTAGAACATTCTGGAAGCTTCGATGGTTCGTGTCCGTGCTAAGTCGGGAAGGATCGCTCCCAGAGCCGGCGGTTCTCTCGCGCGACGTTTTGAGGCAGCCCCCTGCCCTCCATCCCGGGGAGCCTTCTAGAAGCTTCGATGGACCCCCCCCCCA